AGCAGCAGCAACATCAAACATTAAAAGCTTCCTGAAACATATGAGAAAAACTGAAAAAGTGGTTTGTTGGTGTGCCTAATAAGGGCATTTCCCTTTACAAGTTTAGCTTTGTTTTTCCCCTAGTAGTCAGCATGCCTACGTTTATTTTTTATGAAGAAGTGGCCTTAGGCAAGGCAGACTCTTAGCATCCCCCTCTCTGCAATAGGGAGATAAATAAAGAGCCACCTTAATGGCTTGTAACAATTAAAGAATAATGTACATTGTTCGGAGCCTCATACGCATTGCAAATATATTTGTGCATGCCACTTGGGGCTAACTTAATTGCTGCAGTGTATGGTTCCTGCCTCAACACAGCCTTGAAATTCCAACCGTGTAAAGGTTAGCTGCCAGGCCCCCTTTTCAAATCCTCCTGTTCCTTTAATTTCCAAGACAGACTATGACTGTAGATGAAGTCTCCAGCCAGTGAAAATACTGCAGAGGTTTTCAGCATTCCAGATGCATAGGAAGAATGAGGCACACTATGCGTGTGAGGCTGCAGTTGTCTGTGACCGACATTAATAGGAGGGGTGCTTGGGGAGGGGTGACTGCAGATCAGTTGCCTTTACAATCCCGCTGGTATCGGTCTTGCATTACTACTCAAAACCACAATGCTTTAAAGCAGGGGTAGGCAACCTAAGGCCCGGGGGCCGAATGCGGCCCAATCACCTTCTCAATCCGGCCCGTGGACGGTCCGGGAATCAGCGTGTTTTTACATGAGTAGAATGTGTCCTTTTATTTAAAGTGCATCTCTGGGTTATTTGCGGGGCATAGGAATTCGTTCGTTTCCCTCCCAAAATATAGTCTTGGGAAACCTCAGTTTAACCCCAAAGAAACTGGCTTTTTTTAGACATTGTCCAAAACTCAAAGCACCTGACCCCCCACATGGTCTGAGGGATGGTGGACTGGCCCACGGCTGAAAAAGGTTGCTGACCCCTGCTTGAAAGCAACAGCAGCCAAGCCACGGGCTTGTTGGCTGTTTTTTTACTAGATTCTGAAGTGCTACCAGGTGAGGTAATGGAAAAAAACCCCCATCTGAGTAAGAATTAAAGAACAGGGTTCCTCTGAACCAAGAAAATTGGTTTCAGAATCGGAACTAAACTCGATAATTTCACCAAAAGTCTCCTCCTAATTACCGCCCCCCCCCCATTTCCCTAGTTTCAGCAGCCAAAATTACAGGGGGAATATTTTTGCTGTTGCCACTGTTAAATAGATCCTGCTGCAGATCCCTGCTCTGAAGATCTCGTGAGCAGCCCAGGCCAGCCTGGAATCCTGGGCAGCGTCTATTTGCAATCCTTGGAAAGTGATGCAAGGGCTGAGCAATGCAGGCTGTTGCTACTGGCGCTCCTCCTCTGGCCACTAGGGAGCACCAGGGAGCTGCAGAAGAGGAGGAGGCTGTTCTCCGAAAGAGGAGCTCGCTCCCTCTTGCACTGCTATTGCAAGGAAGGGCATGGAAGAATCTCTTCCATGCTGCTGTCTTCCAGGACGGATTTCCTGCATCAAACCTCCCTCTGCAATCAGCCTAACAATAAAGGAGGCAGGCGAGGTAATGGTTAAATATCCAGCCAGTAAATGGCATTTCATAGAATCATAGAGTTGGAAGAGACCACAAGGGCCATCGAGTCCAACCCCCTGCCAAGCAAGAAACACCATCAGAGCACTCCTGATATATGGTTGTCAAGCCTCTGCTTAAAGACCTCCAAAGAAGGAGACTCCACCACACTCCTTGGCAGCAAATTCCACTGTCAAACAGCTCTTACTGTCAGGAAGTTCTTCCTAATGTTTAGGTGGAATCTTCTTTCTTGTAGTTTGGATCCATTCCTCCGTGTCCGCTTCTCTGGAGCAGCAGAAAACAACCTTTCTCCCACCTCTATGTGACATCCTTTTATATATTTGAACATGGCTATCATATCACCCCTTAACCTCCTCTTCTCCAGGCTAAACATGCCCAGCTCCCTTAGCCGTTCCTCATAAGGCATCGTTTCCAGGCCTTTGACCATTTTGGTTGCCCTCCTCTGGACACGTTCCACTTTGTCAGTGTCCTTCTTGAACTGTGGTGCCCAGAACTGGACACAGTACTCCAGGTGAGGTCAGACCAGAGCAGAATACAGTGGCACTATTACTTCCCTTGATTTCTTAAGATCAGAATGTTCCACCCTGGTCAGGTAACACAGAAGCCCCCTGTAAACCTGAAGGAGCGTCTCCACCCCCATCGTTCAGCCAGGACACTGAGATCCAGCACCGAGGGCCTTCTGGCGGTTCCCTCATTGCGAGAAGTGAGGTTACAGGGAACCAGACAGAGGGCCTTCTCGGTAGTGGCGCCCTTCAGATGTGAAAGAAATAAGCAGCTATCTTCTTTTTAAAAGACATCTGAAGGCAGCCCTGTTTAGAGAAGTTTTTAATATTTAATGTTGTGTTGTTTTTAACACTTGATTGGAAGCAGCCCAGAGTGGCTGGGGAAACTCAGCCAGATGGGCGGGGTATAAATAATAAATTATTATTATATTATTATTATTATTTTGCACTTGCAAGGCAAGATGAACCAGAAGACTCTTTCAGTTCCACGCGTAGCACCAAGCCCCTCTCCAGCTGTCGTTCTGTGCTGTTAGCTGGGAGGCAGAATGGCCTGTGATGGAAACCATCTTACCCAGGCATAGGCAAACTTGGCCCTCCTGATGTTTTGGGACTACAACTCCCATCATCCCTAGCTAACAGGACCAGTGGTCAGGGACGATGGGAATTGTAGTCTCAAAACATCTGGAGGGCCGAGTTTGCCTACGCCTGATCTTACCACTTTGTCTTAGGAAACCTCAGTTTAACCCCAAAGAAACTGGTTTTTTTTAGACATTGTCCAAAACTCAAAGCACCCGACACCACCAGCACCATCCTGAACTGTGACAAGAACCATGAATATGCAGCCCTAACTCAAGAACCTGCCCCTCCTTGCTGCTTTGGAACAAGTAATTTTATTAGCATCCCACTCCTGATGTATGCCTGTGAGCCACTGTTCTATACTAAAGCTAAACCTCATTTCTTCATGTAAAGTGAAAAAGCCGGTGTGCTATCACTATCTCCCTGCCGCCCTGTGGCCTGTAACATCTCCCCAGGGTGTCCTACAACTCCAGGTCCAATATTTTAGAAACCATGCTTGCTGCTGCAGTAATACATGTAGACTTCCATGCATGTGGTCAGGGATGTGTATTAGTACTGATAAGGTGCAAGAAGGATGTGAACCTGTTCTTCTGGGAGCAGACTGAAAAAATATCATTTTAAACTGGGATGGGGGTGGATGGGAAATGGTATAGCCCAGACATCAAAAGGTACAGAAACACACGGCTTAGGGGGATGAGAGACCCTTTTTCAGGAAAGAGAAAAGGCATTGGGGAGAATGCTGTGCAAGTTGTTTCCCCAAAATCCATGTATCCAATCCAATACACACACATTTTTTTACCCCTTTATTTCCTGGGAGATCAAAAGACAATAAACAGCCTCATTTCACAATAACTTATATAAATTAGTAGAGGAGCAAAAGACATCTTAATGTTTTGTTTTTTTTAAAAAACCCAAATTCTTTTTTTTTAAAGGACAACATAATAAGGAAGACTCGTAAGGAAAGGGGCCTGTACACAGCAAAATAGCACCATCTGGGGAACCACGTGGGGCTCCTTTAGAAACAGGGAAAGGAGAGAAGAGGGGCCTGAATGTGTGGAAACTAAAACAGCAACATTAGAAACTTAACATTTAAATGGGGGGATACAAGGAAGGGATGGGGAGTGAGGAACCCAGCTAGCCATTCCCGAAACCCACAGAAGTGTTAAGTCCCAGGCATGTGAGGTTCTGGATAAGACGCGTCCTGCCCAGTTGGTTCCAGTGGGGAAGAAGGGCTGTGGGAGCTACTTCATGAAAGAGGGGGAGGTAGAAGCACTACCCTGCCAATCCCTGCGCTCACTCCCACCCCCAACCCCCAAATAATCTTGTTTGGTACACTCCAGCAGTCACATGTAACTGAGTGAGGAACTCTGTGCCTCTTCCCGGGCGGTGAGAAATACTGGATTTGGCAAAGTTGCACACACTCTCCGAGTGATGAAAGGCAGAGAAGGAAATACGCTCAGCCAATGAGGTAAAAGGGGCAGCTTCTTAGGCGCAAAGAGGGGTGCTTAAGAGGCCCAGGCAGCACCATTGCTCAGCAACCTTCACCTGTAAAATGGGGGCCAAGGGGGTGAGGATATCGCACTGGTGCAAGCTCTGGACAGGTGACCCACACCTTTGCAATGACCTACCCTTTCAAGAGAACGCCCTCTGCTCCAGTCTTTGCCAACCTGGGGGCCTGCCAGACGCTTCGAACCACAACGCCCACCAACCCCAGCCAGCACAGCCACGGGGAAGGGATGATGGGAGTTGTGTTCCAAAGTGCCTAGAGGGCACCAGGTTGGCAAACACAGCTCTACTCAGAACACCTCAACTCCAGGCCAGATTTTTCTAGCGTACCTTGGATCCAACGCCTCTCACAGTGAATTTATGAGCCAAATAAAGCGGCCAAGGGTTCAAGCAAAATAAGACAGATCCCACCCCCATCTCCCGTGCTTCAACCAAAGGGTCGCCATTTTAGATGCGCAGGACCCCGGACCCCCACCCCCCATAAGCTAAGCGGGCCTAATGGCGTTCAGCAAGAGTCCATCTGCATGACCACCACGCTCCATTACCTCCTTGGACCCATTTCTTCTCTTGGGCAGAGAAGCCTCCTGGTGTCATGGTTTCCACGGTCCTATTTCCTTCCTTTGGGGAGGGGGGCAGGTGGGGGGTGCTGGGTGTGGAAGACGCATCGCCGTGCTCTGGTGCAGGGCCAAGATTTGGTTTGGGAGAATCAAGCAGGTTCCCACGGGCAAGCGTGTGGCCCTCCGAAGCGGCACGTGGCAGTGTCACGTTGAGAAACCTGTGCCCCGTTCCGCCCCCTCCCGCCACGCTCAACCCTGGCTGCCGCAGGAGGACAAGCTGTCATAAAGAGAGTCGCTCAGGGACTCGGAGTTCTCCAGGCCCGGCTGCCCTTCTGGGCCCATATCCCTGGAACGGGCCTCCGTGCTGCCCTCCTCGCCCACGTCGGATGCGCTGGGGGTGCGGCTGCTGCTGGTGCTGAAGGCCGGCGAGGCCTGAGGCCCGTCCGACGAGGCCCTTCTCCTCTCAACAACGCTGCAAGCAGAGCCCTGCAGATACACAGAGCAGAAAGGCAAGGCTGCTTAGGAGCCGAGGAACATACCAATGGATGGCAGGGGTGGAAGTGGACTGGAACAGAAGCACCAAATGTCCGGCACATTGAAAGCTCCATCTGCAAGCCAGGGCTAGAGTGAGGCATGGCCTAAACAAGCTAGGGAGAACATTTGTCCTCCAGATCTTGCTGAACTACAACTCCCATCAGCCCCAGCAAGCACAGCCGCCGGCTAGGAATGGTGGGAGTTGCAGCCCAGTAATGTCTGGAGGGACCAAAGTTCCCCACACCTGGCCTGAGCTGGGCACCTTGGTTTCCCCCAGTCGCCCCACCCTCACTTACCATTGCAGAACCATGAAGGCCCTCCAGGCCGTGAGGGGAGCAGAGGAAGGGGTCGGTGCCGGCAGATGCTTTGGCATTGGGGAAAGTCCAGTTCTTGCTCTGCTGGGCATGCCGTGGTTTGTTGGGTTCGTTGCAGAGGTCTGAGAGGGGAAAGCGGAGGTGCAACTCATTAGGGTAGGGGAGCCAAATTCTCCTTTGCTTTTGAAGAGCCCAGCAGGGAAGTTGCACGAGTCCAGACAAATAAGTGTCAGAGAGATTGCTCACTTGCATGTCTCCCCACACGCTGTATTTGGGCCCACAGGACAGAACAATTCATTATTATTCTCACCATCACCATCACTATTTCTATACCACTTTATATTTAAAAGAAAAAAAATCTCAAAGCTGTTTACAAGACATTAAAACATCAAATAAAACAATTCAGAATTAACGGCTGTCCCCCTTCCCGTTGCTCACCACCTTCTGGACAATACAAACCTCCTGGGCAGCGATCCCTGCGATCCCGGTGCCTGGGGGGTGGCTCAGCACTGGCTAAGACGCCGTGGAAAGCTGGCATGCTTTGGTGCTTGCTGGGGCCCAGCAAGTCCTCTGCGCTGGGCACCTCCCTCTCCAGCGTCCGGGCCTTGCGGGGAACCCGAGTGACGGGCGGAGGGCCCCTGGCTGGGAAAGGGCCGGCTGACGGAGGGTCAAGTCGGGGCCTCGGTTTAGGCACGCTCTTGCAGGGCATCCCGATGCAGTAGTCCGGCGGCGGAAAGGTGCCAATGCCACTGTCCAGAGTCCGAGTCAGGGAGCTGCACACTGTGGACCACGGGCAGGGACAAGAGGTGGAGTCAGAATCCACATCAAAGGATTCTCTCTCATTCTGACCCTTTCTACTCCAAACAGCTTATATATTGAAAGCTCCAGGTTGCAAGTTTGATCCCTGAATGGGACATAGGGTGCCTTTCCAATTCTACAATTCTATGATTCTGCAAATCTTAGTTTAAGGTCTCCCTTAAAAAAGATAGGAGTTCCTGAAACCTCCCCTCCCATCTTCTCCCCTCTCCAGCATCCTTGAGCCAACCGTTTGTCTGCTTCGGACCTCATAGATCTTCCTTTCTGCTAGAATTAGCCATAAAATCCCGGGAACACATATTCCAACCGCATTCAAACCAACAGTTATCATCTGTTTTAACGCAGCCTTGATTCAGTGCTATTCCCTTCTTAAATCAGAATTAGAAGCAAACAGGAGTACTTGCTCTTTGAAATTCATTTTTTAAAAATAATAAAATTAAACCACTTTTCGTCACAAATCCAAAGCCTAATATACATTTTTAAAAGTTAAGCTCCGAATGTAAGAACTAGATTTATGTGGGCACAATTCTATTAACAGTAGGCTCAAATCTACAAAGCAGATTTTCTCATGGGAAAGTTACTGGAGACAGGCCCACCAGATCTCCCGCAGGAGGTTTTTCTTCGGCACAGAGAAGACATTAATTTCCACTCTAGGAAGCAATTCTTTATGCCAGTTATTTCCTGTGTACAGATGGAGCACAATTCGTGGAAGCCTGCAAAGAATTATGGGAATATCCTCAAAAGGCCTCCACTGAGCTTGATTCTCCTTGTGTAAAAGAAAGGGGAGCCTATATTACACATTAGAGAAGAATGCAATCATTACAGGAAGTGGGTCCTATAAGGAGAGTGTATTCTCTCATTTGGAGTGCCCATCCCGAATGGCTCTTCTCCCTCCCCATTCCACCTTGCTTAGCTAAAAGCAGCACAGAATAGCAGTCTGTGTGCACCTTCCAATGAAGGTGCCCACCTGCCACACCTTGTCCCCTCTGCCAGCGACATCCCATAAAGCTCACCTGCAAAGTGCTGGGAGGTCACGGACTCAGCCAGGCTGTCATCGGACGGGATCTCCTCTTGCAAAGTTGCATCACGAAGCTAGAGGGAAACAGGGAGATGAGGCTGGTGAGCGGGACTCAGACACTCAGGCGTAGGCGTGGAGGGGGGGGCCTAATCCTCCCCCGTCCCGGCCACGGCGGAAAGGGCACCCAACATTTAAGCCTCAAATAAACCAGGGCAGCGTTGTAGCTTTAAAGCCTACACGTGCTTTCTTGAGGAAGCCCTCCGGCACTTCCTTGACTTGCTCTCAATAATTTGGAGTGAAACCATTTGCAGCGCAAAGAGCTTTTGCGCTTTGCCTGCACCTTGGAAAATGCAGCTCTTGTGTCAACCCCTCGCCGCTTTGGGGGGGGAGGAGAGGAGGAGGTAGGGCGCAGAATGAAGCTGATGTCACAAGAAGGCTCTTTTTAATAAGTAAATAAATAATAATAATAATAATAATAATAATAATAATAATAATTTATACCCCGCCTATCTGGCTGGGTTTCCCCAGCCACTCTGGGTAGCTTCCAACCGAATATTAAAAACCATACAGCATCAGACATTAAAAACTTCCCTAAACAGGGCCGCCTTCAGTTGTCTTTTAAATGTAAAATAGTTGTTTATTTCCTTGACATCTGAAGGGAGGGTGTTCCACAGGGCGGGGGCCACTACCGAGAAGGCCCTCTGCCTGGTTCCCTGTAACCTCACTTCTCACACCGAGGGAACCGCCAGATGGCCCTCGGAGCTGGACCTCGGTGTCTGGGCAGAACGATGGGGGTGGAGACGCTCCTTCAGGTATACTGGACCAAAGCAGTTTAGGGCTTTAAAGGTCAGCACCAACACTTTGAATTGTGCTTGGAAACGTACTGGGAGCCAGTGTAGGTCTTTCAAGACCAGTGTTACGTGGTCTCGGCGGCCGCTCCCAGTCACCAGTCTAGCTGCCACATTCTGGACTAGTTGTAGTTTCTGGGTCACCTTCAAAGGTAGCCCCACGTAGAGCGCACTGCAGTAGTCCAAGCGGGAGATAACTAGAGCATGCACTGCTCTGGCGAGACAGTCTGCGGGCAGATAGGGTCTCAGCCTGCGTACCAGGTGGAGCTGGTAGACAGCTGCCCTGGATACAAAGAATCCAAAATGACTCCCAGGCTGCGCACCTGGTCCTTCAGGAGCACAGTTACCCCATTCAGGACCAGGGAGTCCTTCACACCAACCCACCTCCTGTCCCCCAAGAACAGTACTTCTGTCTTGTCAGGATTCAACCTCAATCCATTAGCCGCCATCCATCCTCCAACCGCCTCCAGGCACTCGCCTGGAGGACTGTACATTTTGATGGCAGCTGCCATGTTGCAGAAGTAGCTGGTTAAAAAACAACAACACAGAGGCAGCCTGAGTCTGAAGGGGGAAATGCAGCCTTTACAACCGCAGCTGTCTCTGTAGCAGCGACTCTCAAGTAAACCTCATGTGCGAATAGAGTGGAATAGCCATGCCGCTTGGGGTTGGTATCGCTCCAGCGGGGGCTGGGCAGGAGTGGTGGGCTCTGTTTGTCCTCAGTCCCTGGCCCTGCCCCTGGAGAGGGCACCCACACGCACCCGCCCCAGGCGGCATGGAGACACGCTCCGCCACTGCCAGGACAGGAGGACTCTGGGCGTCACGACTGGCTCACCTTGGCAGGGGCTTCCTGGCAGGCATGGAGGTGGCCAACGATGCCATTGCGTGGAGGCCGGATGAGGCGGGCATCTTTGGCATCATGGAGGCCTCTCTGCAGGCCCTGCAGCTCGTTCTTCTGCTCCAGGTGAGTCTCAAACGGCGCCTCTTTGCCATCCACCCTGCCACAGAGCAGGTGAGAGGGGAGAAAGATGAAGGCCGGCCCCATATTCTCCCTGAAGCACCTCATTTCCCTGAGCCCCTGCAGGCCAGAAATGTCTGTCTCCTTGAGAGAGTTCTATAGCCCAGCAAAACGCACCAGGGTCTCATTTGCCCTGTTTTTTATACCTGCTTTTCCACCCAAGATTTGAAATCAAAATTTCAGAGACCTCACTGCATACACAGCCAGATTAGTTTCCCCCAGGAACAGCCTCTTCTGCCGTTAACCCTCCACTTTCAATGGGGTTGTCTAGAAATGGCGGCTATATCACACAAATGTGGAAATTGGAATTTGGTTCAGTTTTTAAAAATAAATACGAAGAAGCAAGTTTCTGGCCCTTGAGACTGCAAGAGAGGATTGGAGGTTTTGCCTTGTGCACCATCAGAACCTAGGGGGGAAGCTGGGCATGAATTGCAGTTATGCTGCACACCGTAACAGCTCTCAGATCCAGAAATTAAATGAAATATGCAGTCATGCAACTCTCTCCTTTCTTCAAAGTCAGGTCACAGAAAAACTTGGATTGGTACAGAACATTTGATTACCTTGGTACACATTTTGCACAGATAAGAGATTTTTAATACATTAGAATCAACAGTCCTGTGTTCTCAGCCAGCCACATAAACGTTTCATAAAATGGCAAGAGTTCTACTGGATCAGACCAGAGGTGGGTATCCTGTCTCCCCAAAGTGGCCAATCAGATGCCCATGAAAAATCCACAAGTGGCACGTGCTGTTCTTTCCCAGTGAGTGCATTTGTGCATCTAGGTGACCTCTCATCGTGGAGGTGACTTGTAGCCATCATAGCTAGTAAACACCAATGGCCTTTCCGTCTACAAATCTTTCTAATCCCCCTTTAAACTGGTGGCCATCAGCGCCTCTTAGAGCAGCGCATTCCAGTTTAACATTGCACTGCCATTTGTTTGTCCTAAACCTTCCAACATTCAACTTTACCGGATGACTCCAGGTCCCAGAATTACGACAGGGATGGAAACCTCTCTATCCAACTTCTCCACACCATGCATAAATTGAGTCCTTTTTTCCAAATTAAAAAGCCCCAAATGAATTAACTTTTCCTTATAAGGAGGCTGCTCCAGCATCCTGAATGTCCTTTTATGTACCTTTTCCAGCTCCACACTGTCTTTTTTTGAGATGCAGCAATAAGGACTGTACACAGTATTCCATGCATGAAGACATTACTATATTGGGAGTTTTATTTTCAGCTCCATTCCTAATGATCAGCTGCTGCACCCTGAGTCGACGTCTTCCTCAGGCTGTAAACCACAACTCCCAAGATCCCTTTCCTCGTGAGTCACTGCCAGTTTAGACTCCCACAAACAGATATGTGAAGTTCGAATGTTTTGCATCACTTTACACTTACAGGCAACCCCCAATCTCCGGGTGGGGTGCACTCAGGGTCACTGTGTATGCTGGCAGTTTGCAGAAGCCCATCACACCCCTATTCCATCCTCTTCCAGGTCCAAAAATGGCCAACGTGTGCACAGTTCTTTGAACAAGTGCGAAACAGGTTGCCTGTACTTTCAAACTCAGCTGTCATTAAATTTTGAGAGATAACTCAGGAATTTTTTGCAATTCCTTTTTATTTCTACCACTCTGAACAACTGGGTGTCATCAGCACACCTGAGCACCTCACTGCTCACCCCCAACTCTTAGGTAATTTAGGAACGAGACAAAAAGCACCAGTCCCAATACAGATCCTTGGGGAATCCTAAGAAACACCATTTGCTGCGCATGGTAGGTGGGCAGTGTGTTGCTGCCCCCTTGTCTAGCCTACAGGCTTACCACAGGCATCTGGCTGGCCAATGTGAAAAAAGGATGCTAAACTAGATTTACCTTTGGCCTGACCCAGCACGTTCTTCCTATGTTCTTCTCCAACTTCTTACATCCCTCCACTAAGAGTAACTGTCCTGCTCTTGGCATCCTGTTCTTTTAACTAGTTATCCCAAAAACAGATTCTACCTCCGGAAGTGGTATGCTTTCTTTCGCAGGAAGTATTTAAGCAGAAGCTAAGCAGTTGTCCACCAGGGATATTTTAGTTGCATTGTGCACTGCAGATCCTGCACTGAGCAGGACCCTGGGCTAAATGACTGCTAAGGTCCCTTCAAAGTCTATGAATCTATGAAAAAAGGACCTTCTCTCCTAACCCGTTACTGATCGGTTTACTCAGAAGCCGTGGGGGAGGCTTTGACAAAAGGTTTTCAAAAGCCCAAGTATACCGTGATTACCAGATCACCTCTATCCCCATGCTGACTGGCACTCTCAAGGACTCTAAGAAGCTTGTGAGACAGGAGTTACTTTTGCAGAAGCCATGCTGATTCTTCCTCAGCAAGACTCATTCTTCTATGTGGATAACTCTCACAGGAACCCGGCTTCAGCTGTGTCACCTACCTATTGAGCAGCTGCTGCATGAAGTTCTCCGCAGTCACCTCCTGATACATCAGTGTCAGCTGACTGTGGCCGGTGTCGCAGGCGTGGGGCCGGGGCTTGTCCAAGGCCAACCCATTGATGTAGGCCTTCTCTTCCTCCAGGGCTTTGCGCAGGTCCTCCGCCTTCTCCATGAGTTTGGAAATGTTTAGGCTCTCAGCCTCCAGCCTGCGGGAGACCATCTTGCCCTCCTTGACTTTGGGGGCCTCAGGCCTGCGGCTGAGGGCAGGGAGCTTGCTCTTGCGCAGCCCAAACCAGCTGGCGAGGCCGCTAGAGTTCTTCTGCTTCGCCTCCCCTGCTGCCGCCCCTCCTTTGTGCCTGCGCAAAACGTTCTCCTCAATACCTTTCATCACCTTCTCCTCAATGCTGGCTGGAGGCCCAGCTTTGCTGCCCTTGACCGAGTCCAGGCAAGGCGGGTTCTTGCGCCCGACGCTGGTGGGCGTCTTGGCCAGTGCCTGGCACGGCTTGGGCTCCGGGGCGGAGGCCTTGGTTGGGGATTTGGACGGCAACTTTGTTGGGCTCCCATGAGGACTCTTGGTGTTCTTCCCTGGCGGCGGGGGCTTGGGAGGGTTCCTTGCTCCTGGAGTTCCCAGCAAGCGGCTCTTGGAGACGTGGTGTTCGGGGTCACTGCCACGGGAGCCGACCGAGTGGGAGGAGTAGCACCGAGGGGCCGGTTCGCCGGCATGGCAAGGCTCGTGGTGCTTGAGGCTGCTGCTTCCGGTGCCCAGCCTGGGGTGAGCCTCGGCAAAGCCCTCGGTGCGCTCACAGAGCCGGGCCGGGGCCCTCCCTTTCTCAAAGCCTGGCGACTCCTTGCCCTCCGCTCCCTTCAGCCTCCCCAGCACAGTAAGCCGTTCTTTGAAGGGCATGTTGGCTGCCTCAGGCGCCCGCTTGCTCGGCCCGTTTGCCACCTTCTTGGAGCCTTCGGAGGCTCGGCGAGCGAGTGGCGGAGAGTGCCTGCTCTCAGGGCCCGGCTTTTCCCGGCCCCCGGCAAAGGGGCAGGGCTCGAGCGAGATGTCGCTGGGCGGCACGGCACGGAGGGGTGCCGAACGGCACGCGGGCGGGAGTGCGTCGGGGACATCCAACTTGGCGTCTCGGGGGGAGTGGGCATGAGGACTGATGGCGCTGCTGAGGGACAGCTCTAAGACATTCTCGTACTCGTGGGGCTTGTGGAAGCTAAAGGGGTCAGGAGAGGTTGGCGTGACTTTGGGGGGCACCGGAACAAGGTGCCGGGCAGCCTTGGGAGAAGGGTGTCCTCCAGCAATGCTAGAGTCGCTGGGGAAGGGACTGTCCGGGGAGCCCTTGCGGCTGGGCGTCGGGGAGTGGTACACCTCGTAGGTGTTGCTGCGACAAGGGATTTTGGAGCTGCGGGTCAGCTGGGGGCTGAGGCGGAGGGCAGCGGGGCTGGGCGGGGGCGGCATCTTGAGCAACTTGAGCACCTTGGAGGGGGAGGGAATGGGCGGGCCTGGGCGGGACTTGTCCTTGCCCTCACTTGGTGCCAAGACCCCAAGGTAAGTCGGCTCCCTGCAAGCAGAGGGTGGCCCCAAGGCCTCCAGGCAACTGACCGCCTGGATGTGCTTGTAGCTGCCCAGCTGCCCCTCCGGGGCTTCCACCAAGCCAGGCCCATTGGGCTCCCCATTGAGCAGAGGGCTGTCGCCTGCCTCCCTCAGGACGTGGTGCAGGTAAGTCTCCATGTCGCCCAAGTCCAGCTTGTGCTCGGCCAGAGCGCTCAGCAGCACCTGCCCGGGGTGTCCTTTCTCTGGGGGGTCGCCTTCGCCGGCCTCGTCCGAGGAGGAGGAGGAGCTGCCCTCTCCTTTCGGAGGAGGCTGCCTGGGGACCCCTTCCCCCTGCGCCAGCAGCAGGCAGGGCCAGGCTTCGGCCGTCACCCCTTCTGGAGAGCCCCCCTGCCCAGGCTCTCTCCAAGGGGAGGGGAAGGCGAGCAGGGGGTCCATCTCCTCCAGCGAGCGAAGCACCTCCAGGATCTGGGCCTTCTTGCGCAGGAATGGGGACAGGGCTTCCAAGGACTGGGGGTTGGGCCCTGGAGTGCCAGCACACTGCTCCTCAGAAATGACCTATGGGGATTCGGAAAGGGGAGAGGCAAAGTGTAAAAACCTCTAGATCATACACACAAACACACACAGTATACATGTTCCAATGATTAAATCATGGCTTAATATGTCAGGATACTCACAAGCTTCCCACATCTACACGCAGCCCCTTTGCTCCTCCCTTTGCGCAAGAAAGGAGACAAGTCAGGAAGCCTCAGCTGCCCAGAGTTCCGTTAGGCCCAAAGCAGGAAAAATGTGGTCAATGGCTTCCAAGCAAAGCAGGATTTGGAGGCCACCTTTAAACCATGGCTTCGCATCCTGGCATGTTTGGGAGCCTTCAAACCACAGTTTCCTGGTTCAAATGCCATGGGAAGCTATGGCTAACCGAGTTCCTGACCTGTTTTCCTATTTGGAAAGGGATGCACACAGGTGCCTGATGCTCACGCATATCCTGGCTTGTTTGGTTATCCAAGCCTGTCATTATCTCTGCCTGCATCCCATACTCTGCTGCCCAAGACCTTTTATCTGGAGATGCCAGCGACTGAACTGGTGGCCTTCTGCACACCCAAGCAAGTGTTCCACCACTGCTCTATGGTCCCTTTCCATGCCACAGCTCCTCTATTCTTGCAGCATAAATTCAGCAAAAAAATCTGGAGGAAGCTTGAGCTATACAGAGACCATAAGGGGGAAATGGTGTCTGTGGTGGGGCTGGAACGCTTGACCAGGCAGCTTTTTAGCCCTTACCCTCCAAAGCCCAATCCTGCATCTGCTGCATTGCAGGCATATCTGAAAGCCTCAGCTTGCCCCCAGTTTTTGATGCCACCTGGGAATGACGACCCCCCAAGCCTACCAACTGGAACGGTCTCTCACCTGTTAACAGGTGCTTCTACCCAGAGTATCCCCCAGGTGGAAAAAAGACCAGCATTCTAATTTTGGGTCCACCTCAGATAATCTCTTCTTCTTCTTCCCTGGGAAACTGGGCCGCGTCCAAAATTCCCATGATTCAGTGCGAGCTGTCGGGTCTGGCACCTTGCGATGCATCTAAGGTACACACAGTGCCGAGCCGCACAGCAAAGCAGCAATTAATGGCTCTGGGCCCCGTTCCAGGAAGCAAACACCTTCAGTCTCTAAGTTGCGGTGAAACAGGGATGCAACGGGAAGAGTACTTATGGGGGGGGGGGCTGGGGGCTGCAGAGGCAGCGAAGACCCTCACAGGTAATGCAGGGCAGGGGCGCTTTGCAGGACATACCTCTCTCTGCAAGATGCAGTGTCCCAAGGGCAACGAAGCGGGGAGCTTCTCCACCGTGCCTGGCTGGGAGATGGACGATGGATCCGAGAGCAAGGAAGCAGGATGGGCTGGGAGCTGGGGATAGAAGGAGCACCGTGAAGGGCAAAGGCACTGCAGCGAGGGAGGGAACTGCCACTCTAAACAGCCTCAGTAGAACTGCAGGCAGGCAGCCGATACATACAGGCTCACAACCTCCTTCACACAGACACTCAGAGGGAAAACCACTCTCCACAAGGTGCATTTCCACTCTGCTTTGGTTAAAGCTAAGTTAAACTGTTTTTAAATTGCTATGACACACCCTAGGGCATTATGGTGAAGGGAAGGGAGTATTTTTTTAAAAAAACACACAAATAGATTCCACCCTCAATGGTCTTATGGGGCTTTTAAGATGATGTTGTGTACACCTGGCTTGTTTTAAAATGCATTCCTGAATTCCAAAGGTGAAATGGCAAGGCAGCCAGATGAGCAAGGCTGAAAAGGCCACTGGCAAGTACTGAGTGGCATGCCAAAGGCCCTTCTAGCCAGCACCCTGATCTCATAGTAGCCAGCTGGGGAAAACCCCGTAGGGTAAAGCTCATGAGATTCCATTAAGATCCCACTTTCATTCACCCACTGATGCTGCCCCTTCAGACTCCTTCTGCAGTCTCTCCCCGCCCACCCAGGCTTCTTATCAGCACAATTGTCACTGGTCAGTCCCAAGAAGCCACTCTGGTTGTCTTCTAACTCAACTGTAGCTGAAACAGTGATGCCGGAAGGCAGCCCATGTCCCTTCACCTCCAACCCCAGGAAATCCAAGATGCACTAAGACATGGTGGGTTGTAGGCGGAGATGCACCACATGAGTAAGATGTACGAAGGCTGCACCGTTAGGAGGACCAGGCTATACATTACATAGAAAGACATGCAATATAACCATCACCCCATGGCTGTTGTTTCTATGTAAAGCAGTCTAAAACCCAAAGGACAGTGGGGATGAAAAGCAATACAGGTTTCTAAAAAATAAAAACTCCTAAAAATAAAGATGGGAGGGATTTAAACTTGTTCTAAGCAGATCACTCTGTCTGCGCAAGCATTTCTGCTGGCCTGACTGAATGGTCTAAACTTCTCCTCCCTGCCCCCATGTGCTGGCCTGGGGTTTCTTCCAGTCCAATTCTGAGGTGGATATTGGGGAGAAGCACCATTGTGCTAGCAGCAGTCTTTGTGTGAGAGGGATCTGCTCTCTCAATGAAACAGTTTGAAGCATGCCAGAAAAAGAGCCATTTCTGGTTTTATGATTCTAAGGCTTCCATCACACACAACCAAGAAGCTTCCTGTTTGTGCATCCATGCAAAGAGCAAGGCTGAGTGCCTCAGAAGAATAAGTGGGGTGGGAGAGAGAGAAAGAGAGAGAGAGAGAGAGAGAGAGAGAGAAGAATGGACCCACCTGGGAGAGAGAGACAGAGGTCAGCTTCTGGTGGAAGAGATCACTCAGGGCTTGGTTTTGTCGCTCAAGGTCAAAGACCCGTTTTTTCAGTTTGATGCATTCTTCACGTAGGTCCTGAGGAAAGAGAAGGGTCAGTGGGCTTCACCCTCTAAGTTGGTGTTTGGGAGACAGCTTCACCCCCACATCCTGCCATCCCACCCCCTACAGACACATCCTTCAATGAATCAGCTGATAACGCAGAACGATGTCTGGATGATCCAGTGTAAATCTATCACTGATGCACTATTATGATGTCAATGGCAAGTTGCAGAATGCACCTGCAAAAACAAGCAAATGTTCTTGGGGGAAACCCTAAATTGTTTGCAGGATGAGATTTGCACAAGATAAGAGACTCACCTTTTGGTTTAACAGCGCCTGCACAACATGATTTGCTACCTGTAGAACAGTAAAGAACAGATAAGAGGAGGAAAGTCCTAAGGACCCTGAAACAGGCTGTAGTCGTCATCGTCTCTCCCCCCCCCCCAAAAAAAAGGAAAAGGGAAGGGAAAGGCCCTCTTGGAAAATGAGAAGGGAAGGCAGCTGTACCTCATCAAGGCAGCGTTCATACGTCTCTCGCTGGTTCTCATTGGCTTGTGCCAAAGCCGAATTCTCTGCCTGGGAATATAATCAGACAACAGGTGAGCAAAAGGGCCCAGAATCCCAGCTTTCCTCTCTAGGAAGAAATGGAAGCAAAGAACATCTCGTTTCCCCAACAAATGAAACTGATTTGTAAAAATGTTACATGGGGGGAAAAATACGAGAGAGAGACATTGCACACACCTTTGTAAATCAACAAAATCTTTAATAAATAATAATAATTAAAAAAGGCAAAGACTTAAAATATTCCACCTTAAGGTACACACATGATTGTTGTGTGTCACATGTCTGTTTACACTCCAGCACAGCTTGCTGGGAACTTCTGTTTGTGTATAGCTTTTGCTTAAGCTGCTTGCTTTTGGGCACGAAGGAGATCGGACATGTTTTCCTTTTGTCCTGCTGTAAGCTGAATAAACTGCTTGTAAATATGCTAAAAAAACTAAAAAAAACCTTGTTTCCCTTTCCTGCTCTCCTTTAGCTCCCTTGCCCTACAGGGAAGTTTTTTCACTGCAGCATGGCAAGACCAAAGCTTAAGCCCAGGCCTCTATAATACAGTGTTGGCCAGCGATGTGGTTGGCTTTAGAAGAGGATTAGACCATTTTGTGGCAGCTAAGGCTCTCAATGGCTACTAGCCACAATGGCTGTTCTACCCCCACTGCTGAAGGCAGAGGTATGCCTCTAAAGACCAGTTGCTAGGAGGGGAGCGCTGATACACTCCAGCCCTGCTTGTGGGATTCCCATAGGGGCATAGGGTTGGCCACTGTGAGAACAAGACGCTGGACAGATGGACCTTTGTCCTGATCCACCAGTGATCTTCTTGCATACTTAAGAACACAGAAGGGTCAAAAGCAACAGCTTCAGTAGGCAGGCGGCCTTCAGAAAGAAGAGCAGTGAGTCCTTCCACTCTATCAGCTTGCTGCCCACTGTCCCATAAGTGGACCCACATCACAATCTGCTCGTGCAAAGGGCTCCTACACACTGGAAGGAGACAGAAAAGGAACTGCACATGGCTCTACTTGCTTGCTCGAGTCACCTGCAAGCCTGCCCCTGCACTCTCTGGGCACACTGAGGTCTCAATTCCATCAGAGTGATCTTTTGACACTTGGGAGAAGATGCTTCTCCCTCAAAGCCAGGGGACAGGAGCTATTCCATTTCTGCCGTACAAAAATATACCAGTGAAGGCAAGTCAAAGTTTCCTTTTTTTTAATGGACAGTGTTACATGACTAAATGGACAAAATAAATGCGTCTCCAGAGATTGTGGAACACAGCACTAGCAGAGCCAACCAGCACCGTCCAGAAGTGGTTGGACTCCAACTCCCATCAGCCCCAACCAGTACAGCCAATGGTCAGGCATGATGGGAGTTGTTGTCTATCAACCTTTTGAAGGCACCACATTGACTAACCCTAGTTTAACTGAATCCAGATCCTGGCTGGGGGGGGGGGGGGCACCGACACAGGAAAACTTTTAGAAATTTTGCTTCCCTTCATAATCTTTCATAAACGGAGGTAAGTGAACGGACTACCAAATGTTATTCCTATCTGGAATGTGATGTACTAATGAGCCTAGTTTTGTACAAAAAGAAACAAGGCAGGTTCATTATCCCAATTGATTGCCACCCCACTTTGTTAACTGCTATGGAAGAATATTTACAATGAAATCTATTGTGTTATAAAAAACCAGATTCACAGTAGCTGTTTTGGATCTAGGTTTTTGTGAGCCTACCCCAACCTCCTTCCCTGGAAGCCTGCCCCCTTCCCCAGCAAAACGGAATGTCACTCACATCACTTCCAAAATCTTAAATATAACCTTCTAGTCACTGGCAGGAGCCTCGGAGGGCCAATGAGGCATCAGTGGGTCCAGGGCATCTCCCCAGCCAAGTGAAACAGATGCTATATTGGTCCCTCGCCAAAGGAAAAACCACCCCACTCACAAAAAGTGGGGGGGGGGGTTTCTTAGGGTCTTAAGCCATTACCTCTGTCACTCCTTGTGCCTAAACTCTTCTGGGGAGAAAACTAAGGAACGTACCTCCAGCTCCCGGAGCCTCTGAAGCAGCTCCTGGGTTGTCATGGGCTCACTGCTGCCTCCTTCTGGCTTCATCTCTCCCTGCAGCTTGGCTTCAGACATCATTTCCTTTGGACAGAAAGGGCAGAGACCTCTCTCCCCAGGGGCAGCAGACTGCTGAAGTGCCAATAATCATGCTCCTTGCCACAGACAGAGGAGCGCCAGCAAATCCTGGGCAGGGCGGAAGAGGGTGAAAAACCATCAGCAAGAAGCCACTCTTACAATTACAATTAATCCAGAAGGCGGCAGCTAGACAGGTGACTGGGAGCGGCTGCCGAGACCTACATTGGCTCCAAGTACATTTCCAAGCACAATTCAAAGTGTTGGTGCTGACCTTTAAAGCCCTAAATGGCCTCGGCCCAGTATACCTGAAGGAGCGTCTCCACCTCCATCGTTCTGCCCGGACACTGAGGTCCAGCTCCGAGGGCCTTCTGGCGGTTCCCTCCCTGCGAGAAGTGAGCTTACAGGGAACTAGGAAGAGGGCCTTCTCGGTGGTGGCTCCCGCCCTGTGGAACGCCCTCCCATCAGATGTCAAAGGAACAAACAATATCTGACTTTTAGAAGACATCTGAAGGCAGCCCTGTTTAGGGAAGTTTTTTTAATGACTGATGTTTTAATGTATTTTTAATCTCCTGCTGGAAGCGGCCCAGAGTGGCTGGGGAAACCCAGCCAGATGGGCGGAGTATAAGTAATAATTTTTATTATTATTAATTATTATTATTATTATTATTATTACTACTACTACTACTACTACTACTACAGAAACGGCATTTGGTGATGAAAGCAAGGCTGCAAGCTTTTCTTTCCCCTTTCAGAGCTGGACGGGCACAACAAGTGCATCTCGCATGGTGGGGAAAGCTGCTTCTGTTGGGTTTCTGCCTGTGGCAATGCTGGCAAAGACACAGAGTTTCTGTTGTGCGGCTGTTATTGAGGGGCAGAGCAGAATCTGTTCAGACTGTAACTACAGTTCAGCCTGGCCTTCTGAAGAGCTCAGCTTTGTACACAGTGTCCCAAGCAGGCAGCTCACATGGCAAAGCCTGCCCTAAATGGCCAATCTCTCCTCCCAACCCAGCGTCTTCAGATTCAGGTGCAGGGAGAGTTGCACAGTCTTCTCCCTGTGCATGACTTCAGGAAGTAAGAACTGGGGAAAGACACCAGTTCCAGCAGACGGACAAGGGCTGGTCCCAACTTAACACTAAGCCAAACCATGGCTTAGCATAAATGCATGAGCATGCAGGCTCCATCAGCGCAGAGAACTCAGCCGCTTTGCTCTTTCTCTGGTCCCAATGTGAACTAAGCTGTGGTTTGGGCTTTGCATGTTGTCTACACCTGGGCTTGCGGTTTATTTCCACCAGACAATCCACAAGGTGTAAGCAAACACGACAGCTCATGGTTTGCCGGGTCTGGAATGAGACAAGCCACAAGCCCAGGTTTGGATAACATGGCTTAACTCACAGCAGCACAGGAGGAGGAACAAAGCAATCACAATCTCCTCTGTGGCACAATTCGCTCTAAGCCACAGTTTGGCTTAGCGTTAAGTACAACCGAGCCATTCTGACCCATTTTATTCGGCTGGGAATGTGGTGTTATCAAGCTTCCTCTGAATGGCTATTAAGCCGTTTCTCCAATATTGATTTTTTTCCCTCTTTTTTTTTTTGCATTTCTCCATTTTCTACAATTCAAAAATAATAATAAAGCTACACTGAACTGGAATGTATCTTCTGGACTAAAAGAGGCAGAGTTCTGGCGCAGAGCACATACTTCACCTAGTGCCTTTCTCATTGAATAAATCTTGGGTGTCAAGTCTTTGCCAGAGACTTTGATGGGCTGCTGCCAATCAAAGGAGATTGTACTGGGCTCAGCAGACTAATGGTCTGCCTCAGAGTAAGGCCGCTTCACAGGTTCTTAGCACCACCTGGGAGAGAAAAATCAGTCTCAAGCTGGTGCTGCCTTTACACCAGAGGTGGGGGAAGCTGTGACCTTTCAGAGGTTGTTGGACTCCCAACTCCCACCAGTCCCAGCCAAGGAGATAGAGCCCAACAACACACAGCTTAGTTGGTAGAGCATGAAACTCTTAATCTTGGGGTCGTGGGCTCATGCCCCACATTGGGCAAAAGATTCCTGAATTGCAAGGACTTGGGCGAGATGACTCTATATTTCTATGATTCTAACTTCGGGATGCGGGTGGTGCTGTGGGTTAAACCACAGAGCCTAGGACTTGCCGATAAGAAGGTTGGCGGTTTGAATCCCCGCGACGGGGTGAGCTCCCGTTGCTCGGTCCCAGCTCCTGCCCACCTAGCAGTTCGAAAGCACGTCAAAGTGCAAGTAGATAAATAGGTACCGCTCCAGCGGGAAGGTAAACGGTGTTTCCGTGCGCTGCTACGGTTCGCCAGAAGCGGCTTAGTCATGCTGGCCACATGACCCAGAAGCTGTCTGCGGACAAACACCGGCTCCCTTGGCCTATAGAGCGAGATGAGCGCGCAAACCCAGAGTCGTCCACGACTGGACCTAATGGTCAGGGGTCCCTTTACCTTTAACTCTGGAGGGCCACCGCTTCCAACATAGGAGTCTGCATACAAGGCATGTAAGGTTTAACCCTGTGTCTCAGTGCCTGAAATATCAACCTGTGCAAGCCGTTTAAGATCCGCCCAGATGCAAGCCCACGAGGGCCAAATGCAAACCCATCACCTTGCATGGCAGACTTCAACGGAAGGCACATCTGTCCACAAGCAAATGCTCCCTAATGGAATGGGTCTCACAATCATTCATTCTCTGGGGAAATGGGAGTGCTTCAGTCTGGATTTTGCACCTCAGACACCAAAGTATCTTTGGCTGTCCACGTATCCGTCGGTCTTTTACCTTTCTCAAAGGACCCAGAGGTAGACGCTGTGGATGACTGGATCTCCAGGCCTTCCTTAGTCGCTCCTACCTGAAAGAGAAGAGAAGCCAAGTAGATTGGGTTACTGCCTGAGGCAGACCCGGAAGCGGCAGCTAGTGCAAAAGGCAGCAGCTGGACTGCTCACTGGGGAGAAAAATCGCCATCACATCATGCCACTGCTGAAGGAATTGCCTGGCTGCCGATTAGCTACCAAGCTAGGTTCAAGGTTGTAGTACTGGTGTACAAAGCCCTACACAGCCTGGGACCAGGACACCCAAAAGATCGCCTCACCCCCTACATACCCAACTGATTGCTGTGTTCTGCAGGAGGACTTACCCTGCGGAACTCACTCCCACTGCATATCAGACAGTTGCCTTTTCTATTGGTTTTTTGGCACCTGCCAAAGATGTTCCTCTTTCAACAAGCCTTCGGAATTCTTTATCCCAGTTGATACCCGCCGTGGATATGAACTTATTACATGGATGTGTTGTAGTTTTAAACTGCTTTTATATTTTTGGGGTTGGTTTTTAAAAATTGTTTTTATACACATGTTTTTAACATATATGTTTCATTTATGTCATTATACTGTAAATCACTTTGAGATGTCTGAAAGGAAGAGATTCAAAAATCAATGAAGGGATTAACTAACAGATTTACAAAAAATGATATATGCCACCCTCCCCCCCTAGAAATTTTGTGGTGCCTTTTAAACCAGGACTAGGGAGCCTGTGGCCCTCCAGTCACTGGTGGACTCAAGAGCGATGGAGTTGTGGTGGTCAGACCATTCCCAGAGAGTCATCCATTCCCCTTCCTTGCTCTATCTAGAGCAATTCAAGAGTGACTTTGAGCCACAATAGCCAACTAGGGCTATAGCCTTATAAGCCCACTCAACAATTTTGATCTGCAGATCTGGCATTTTACAAGTGCCACATAATGTTCTTTCCATACTTCCAAGGAATCAGCCGTTCCATATGGCAGCCCCTGCACTTCGGAACCCCCTGTCCATTGAAATTAGGCAGGCATCTTTGCTGTACTGTTTTGAGAGCCAGCTAAGAACTTTTTTGTTCAAGCAAGCCTATCCAGGCATGTAAATTTTGACATGCATTTTAGTAAGTTATTTTATTTTATAATTTGCATTTAAATTGATTTGATTTTAAATAATTTGATTTTATTTTTCAAAATTTCAGGCTAGCTTGTTTTTAGTTTCTGATTTATCAGTACATTGTACATTTTATGCAACCCACTTTCAGGTTTTGACAAGAGCAGTATATAAATTCTGTTAAATAAATCAAAACACAAAAAAGGGAATAGAGGCATATCAGACACTCAGGAGAGGAAGTGGAAGGGGGAGACAGCTACAGAGAGGTATTTTTAACTCAGGGACCTCTCCAAATCCCCCCCCCATAACTTCCTCTTGGCCATTCTCCACTCCAGTGGTAATTTCACATTTACAAAGTGCAAAAAAGGTCTGCCCACCCACCCCTTTGAGTTTTATATATGTATTTATTTATTTAGCAGTATTTATGTGCCACTTAACATTTCAAAAATCTTGAAGCAGTGTAGAGTCTAAAAAAAGCAAACAATATAGGCTGAAAGAGATAACCTAAAACCAGCAAAACAGCAGTATAAAAACACATAAAAGCAAATAAAATAGACACTCTCACTCAAAGGATTCAAACACACAAAACGGGGCCTGATTCTTATGGGTCAGGAAATGCCTGAGTTTTTAAAAGGCAAGCCTTTGTAAGGTATCTAAAGTATCTGATGGTTGCTGCTTCACGTACACCAGAGGAGAAGGGAGCAGGGGCAACAGCAGAAAAATGCCTGTTTATGGGGTCACTGCCCTGGGGTATTCTGTATTCTGAGAATTTCTCCAGGTAATCCAAGCGACTCTACAGGGGCAGGTGCTTTTTCAGGTAGTTGTTCATAGAACCATATAACTGAAGAGTTAGAAGGAACCCTGTGGGTCATCCTAGTCAAACCCCTTGCAGGTCTGTATATGTTATAACAAGACCTTGAACATGCCCTGGTAGCTGATGTCCAGATTTTATTTACTTGACAAGACTTACATCTCATTTAATCAACAAAAAAACCTCTAATCGGTTTAGATAAAACAAGATTGCTTCCACACCACCACCCAAAGGATAAATTCATGAAGGACTTGTCTATCAGTTTCATCCCCCATCATCAGGTCCAGTTGGCAAGCTTCCCAAAGGCATATGTTAAAGAGGCAGAATCCTGGACAAGGTAGAGCTGTGGTCTGATTCAGAGGATGTCCCCAAGAATCTCCTCCACAGCAGGGATGAGAAAGCTGTGGTCCTCTGAAAGTGCTTGAACTCCCAACTTCCATCAGCCCCAACCAGAACGGCCAAGGGGCAGAGATAGTGGAAACTGTAACCCAACAGTAAGTGGAGGGTCAGATCCTTCATCCCTCTCTACAGACACAGGATGCGGTGCGTGTGTCCGCAAGGCTCCCTAAGAGTCAAGAGCGGTGCAGGAAGAAACAGTGCAGCAAATCTCACCATCTTCAACCTACTCCACTATGGCCTGTTCCAACTGGCAGCAGCTCTTGGGGATCTTGGGGAAGGTGTCTTTCACAGCCCGGCTATTTGAGCTCCCCAGAATCGTCCGCGACTAGACCTAACGGTCAGGGGTCCCTTTACCTTTACCTTAACTTGAAAGAAGAAGCGAGCCTAAAAACTAAGTTCTATTGCCACCACCAGTGTATAACTTTCTTAACCCCATCAGTTGGGTGTCTGGACTGGTTCTAGTACATGTTGTGGTTGTGGTGGTTTTAATTAAAAAAATCAAATAGCACACCTCACCCCCAGTTGTTAATCAGCCCAAATTCATCCAGTGAGCTGCATGGTTGAACGGAGATCTGAACCCAGGACTCTAAACCCATTTAACATTCTAAACCCAACATTCCAGCTGCTACACACACTCTTGTGAGTGATCCACTCCTTATTGTCATGAGGGGTTCACACACACACACACAGAGAGAGAGAGAGAGAGAGAGAGAGAGAGAGAATGAATTGTATTTTAATCTGGAGGGGAAACGTGTCCACACTGTAATCAGAGAAGCGTAGGAAAGCAGAAATTCTAGTTTTCTTTTTACAGAATATAATGCATACAATGCTCACAGATTAAATATAAATATATATGAATAAGTGTGTGTAAATAATCTTCAAAAATTATCTTGTTCTATCAATCATGGCCATTTAGACTAACACAGTATCATTGCTATTATAATAAACATCTAATGTATTATATTACATTATACTATACTAGTTTATGAATTAATTTTAATCTCTCTTTAGTATTTCTTAATATTCTGACATTCAACGTTTCAAATTTCTTATGTTACGCATCCTAGCAGAAAGAAGCTTCATAAATTTGGATTGTACTGCTGCTTCTGATAATTCATAAAAACATTATTGTTTAAACAAACCTACCCAGATTATTAGAAAGTTGAGGTAATTTTAACCTGCTTTAGTATTTTAACTTTGTATGTTTTAAAGGATGGTTGTAATTCCCCTCCCCTCAATTTTATTGTTTTATATTTTTGTTAACTGCTTTGAGGGTTGTTGTTTTTTAACAATCAAGTGGTATATACATCTTATAAAATAAATAAAACAAATAAATAATAAAAAGGGACCATGATCTTTCAAACCATTCCTCTTCCAATTTCTAGCTTTAATTGCAGCTCCAGAAAGCAAGTGGAAGTCTGGTGGATACAGCTGGCAAGAAAACCAAAAGCCAACCTAGCACTTTATCAAAATACACAATACAGTATACACGTTTTGTGTGTGTGTGTGTGTGTGTGTGTGTGTGTGGTGTGTGTACTCAGCTCTGCCTATATACTATTCCAGTTTGCCCAGACTGCATTACACAAAAACCCTCCCTGCCTCCAATCAGATGGGAACCACCAAAGGTTTACCCAGTCTTGAAGGAAAGACTGCATGTTCTCAGAGTACTGGAGATCTTCAACCTTTCTGGGCTACACATCCATTTGTGGACCCAATTCTTAACATATGTATGTATCTATGTATGTATATGTGTGTGTGTATTTATACAGTGTTGATGGTGCACTCACCAGCCAAAGAGCAATGCTAAGATTACTATTTCATGCATTTCAGGACTAAGTCCTGCTAAAAAAAATCCCAGTTCTAGCTCACAATTAACCCTTGAGCAGCCAAAACCTCTGGATTCCATTCCTCAGTTCTGGCAAAAGCTAGAGAAGGGAGGCTGAAACTGGTCAAGGAGACTATTTCCCAGGGCTTTCCGTCAGAGGCCACGCAACACCCACTCCCTCTGCGACTCCAATTTCCTCAGCATCGCAACACACACACACACACACACACACACACAGAGTAGGTCTAATTAAACCTGGCAGTTGGGATGTTTGGGTCAATGGCTGCTTTGAGATGCTCCAATAAGCAGCGCACTGAGGAGTCTCCCGTGGAAAGGCCACCTCTGCTCTTCCAAGGCAAGGGTGCTCCCCAATCCCACCCCCCCCCCGGCTCCCAGGCTCCCTTGCAGATGAGCTGCCCACATCTGCCATGCACATCCCCTCGGAGGAAGCCCTCTTTAGCATCCTTGACCGTGATGCTCGCCAGCCTGCCAGCCAGCCAACATTCCTGCGTGCATCTAGCCCAGTACTCCGCACTAGTTCTCAGCCAAGGGCACTCAGCCGACTCCAGCCCAGCATACTGGGTTTTCTTGGCTGCATTCCTGGACTTTTGGGGAGGGGGGAGGGTGGGCAAAGGGAAGCCGCTGGGTAGTGCCAACGTCTACATGCTCAGCACAAAGGGATTAACCGTAGGGAATGCAGAGACATCCGAGACGGCTGTTGGGTCTGAACCCCGTTAAATCAGGAAAAAGCAGCTGCGGAAAATGACACACTGCCCTAAATACAAAAGGGTTCTTAAAGGGCCTCAGATCACGCCACTCTCCTCGGTGCACCCCCGAAGTCCCTATGGGGGGGCAAAGAGAACAGGAGGGGAAGCGGGATCCCATGCAAAGCAGCGCTGCCAAGGTGAAAGATCCTCCCGCACCCGCATCTTCTCCAAACAGGAATTGTAGAAGGATGCTCCAAATCTTTCTCTGGACTCCGCTCGGCTCCTAACTCGCACTGCTCACCTTATTCATAATGGCACACACATTCACACGTATACACTCTTGCACGCAGCGATCTCCAAGCTCCAGAGACCCCCTTGAACCCCAACCCGAGAGAAGCTTGCAAGTGCGCTGCTTCAAGAAGAGTTGTGCAGATGCCTCCCATAGATTGACCCCCTTCCCCCCCGGTTTCTGCTCCCAGATGCTCCAAATAACCCCCTTCTTCCATAACACCCCCCCCCGGGCTCTCCCGCCAGCCATTCTCCTCGAGGTCCCGCAGTCCTCCAAGGAGCCCCTTGGAGACCCCCGAAGCGCCCCCCGCCGCCTCCTTACCGTCTGGGCCGCCTGGCCAGCCCGGCGGGGCGGGAGGCCCGGGGGTCGAGCGCGCTCCCGTCTCGGCGATGGAGGCCCCGGCGCCGCCTGGGCATCATCCTCCCGCCCGACGCGGCCCGACTCGGGGCCTGCTATTGTTGGGCGGCGGAGGCGGAGGCAGGAGGGAACGGGCCGCGCCGAGCTCCGCCCTCCGCCGCCCCCCGCCTGCGCGCAGCCCAGACCCCCGGCCCCGGCGCGCCTTCCCCCTCGCCTGACAGGCCCTCCTTCGGCCGGAAGGATTTCGAACTAAACGAGCGCCATGTCTCGCCCTTTGGGGCGATATTCCCCATCCTATTTTGTGCCCCGGGCAAGGAGAGCTGCTGGCACGCGCGCACAAAATTGCAAACAATTCCAATGGGCGAATTACCTCAAAAGCGATAGAATTCTTCAAAATATAAACGGAATGTAAATTTTATAAGGTCTGTCATGTAGGATGTAGTTTTGCTTAAGATTCCTGCATTGCAGGGGGTTGGACTAGATGACCCTCGGGCTCCCTTCCGACTCTACAGTTCTGTGGTTCTATTAAGTGCAAAACTGTGCCCCTGGAAGGTCAGTCAGCACTGAGCCCCTCTGAGGTCCGCGCCTTGGGTGCCTAATGGCAACATTCAACATTGCCATAGATAACAAATTGGCCCCTACTTCATGATGGGGAGTATCCCAAAAGCCCCCTCTCCCTGGTTAATGGCAGGAGATTGCTACATTCACTCAGGGTACCAGTGAAATATAACATTAAGGTTATATTTTGGGTCCATGTCCCAGGCTGCATCTGGACCTTCAAACAGAAAAATGTACTGCGAAGCAGATTCAGCCTCACCATCAAATAGCAGCAACTGCTAAAAAATAATCTGGAGTGAAAGCACCCTGCTCAAATAACAATCCCGTATTTTCAAGACATAATCTGCTCATATGTTTGCCATTTTTTTCACTATCAGTTATTAAAAACTTTCCTTGAAAAGGGGATAGATTTCTAAGGTGGAAATCCTAAGCACACTTAAAGGGGAGAAAGCCCCACGAATTCAGTGAAATTTCTGAGGAAAACTGCTTAGCATTGTACTGCAGGTGTGGTCTGCTCCCACCCTGCCATATCATTAACAGAGCACACACAAGGTTACATTCTTTTAAGGCAGGGATCAGCAGGGACCCAATCCAGCTGCTTGAGGAGGATTTTGGTTGCTAGACCAAACACAGAGCTGAAAGAAGAGGGGGAAGCAACTGTAAGGATGGGAGTTGTGACAACCAGGTCTTCTACACTCCCAGCTGACAGAAACCCTCTGGTTCTGATCAGTGTTCTAAGGTCTACTGCTATGTGGTCATAGGTGGACTGGTCTGCATTGCTGTTACTGCTTTCTTTGATTTCCCTTGATGTTGCCTGGGGTACCAGAATATCTGACATCAGACATTTTAATTCCCTCTGAGCCCAAATTTGGCTTTTCTGCAACATTTTTACACCACCTAAAATTAATCCCCTGCTTTGCAAATATAAAAACTGCCTGTTTCTCTTTATTTCTGTTCTCTACCCAACAAGGAACCTATGCGTTTTGTTTAAGGTAGGAGACAGATCTGAGTAACCATTGCATTTGGTATTTCACAAGTGGGGGCCACTGTGTATTTCTTTGTCTTAGATGCAACCTGCATAACAACACCTAGTTAAGCTTAATCCAATTGAGGCTGCTATCTCCTCCATCTTTAACACTGTGGCCAACTGCAGACTTCCTGGCTGCCAAGATCAAGACAACTCCCTCACCATGTCTCTTCTTTATCATCCAACCTGATGAAGAGTTCTGGATAACTTGAAAGCTCGCTTGTGACATTCCAGTTGCTTCTAATGAAGGCATTGTCCAACAATGCATTTTAAAATGAACTAGATTCCCCATCACCCAGAGGGAAAACCATCTCTTCCATTACTCATGCTTGCTGGGGCTGTTGGGAGTTGAATTTCAGGAACAGCTGGTGGACCGAAGGATCCCCACACCTGCATTAAAGCTCTGGTGTCAATCTCCCCCCTCAAGAACTTAACTATCAAATGAGGGTTTGTCTTCAGAGAAGTACATCAGTTCTCATCAAGATCAATGCAAAGCTGGAAGCTCAAGCTACAAGGTTACAACAATCAAACAATGCTTACCTAACCTGTTGTTGCTTCTTTATTGTTCTCTGAATATCACTGCTCTAATATTTGTTTTAAAACTCACAGATGGTTACAAGTCTGTGTCTGGTATGAAAGCCAAGGCTGCCCCCTGAAGTTGCAGTTTGCCAAGGACTGGGCAGATGAGCAGCCGACCTTCCCACCCCTCACATCTTGGCAAAAAGACAAATACACTGGTTTTAAAAAACCCTCTTTACTTTCAAGGCATCCTTTTCACACTGGTTTGCCTGCCACTGAGCTGTGTGCTACCAAGTGCTCAAGGAAAGTTTGCTGCTAAAAAGGTGGTAGAGTGTTAGAAACTCACAGATATATAAGCTAGGCACCAAATGGCTCCTTGAACCAAGGTTGCAGTTGCCAAAATGGAATGTCTAGTTGCCATTTTTGGGCAAGATGGCTCTAACGTCTTGTTTTTCAAAGGATGGATTGGCTGTGATTGATTATCAGATAAACACCTGGCTAGTTCAGATGACATCCTTGAGCTAGGTTAAGAACTTTGAGAACTTAAAGAAGAAAGGTCACTTGATCCAGGTCTACATCTATATTGGCCAATTCCAGCTCTTTGTCTTAGTGGTAGCTGCTCCTGCTCAGGCTGCACAGAAAAAGCATTTTGGTTCCAGAAATTCATTCCGATTGAGCAGATAGAATATAACTGACAGAATTCTACAGGATGGAGTATTAGTATGTGAAAACGCTCCGGAGCCTATGATCCCCAGGCATGCACCTCCAGGTGGTGGAGATGTTGGGCACCATCCTGGCCCTCAGGCACCTTTGCTTGGTTGGTCGCAAGTGGTCAAAAGCTAGGTGCAAAATGTCACTCACTGGGGCAAGCTTTCCTCATCTCCTCAGGAAAGCTGCTTACAAGCCCCAGGGCTTCCTGAACACACAGCTCTAGGAAAGCCACTGGACTAGAAGAAAGCCACAGCTGCTCCTTCTCCTTGCACCAGGAAGAAGGAAAGCTCCTCAGGCATGCAGGGGAAGCTCAGAACACACACAGAAATTGTGTCCGGAAAAAGTGCGTGAAGAACAAAGACACAAGCAATATTATTCCACCACAGGGACCCCTTGAGAGATTTTACATTGATTTTCCACTGTTACAATTGCATTTATTCCCCCAATGTCATGTTAATTCAAAACTGTGGGCTGGCTTGTCTGTTTTTATAAGCCAAGGGCTGCGGAGGCGTATTAGTGCACCAGCCACACCAAAGAGAGAGGGAAAGTGTCCTGCAGTTGGACACAGAACCTCCATCACCCTCAGGATCAGAGACAACCTGTAAGGAGCAGGAAGCTCCTGCTCTGCCTACAGTTTCACAGACAACCCTTGGACAAATCATTGATGCTGTGGTTGGCCTCTATTCCGAACTTAAAAATGGAAAGTGTAATGCTGTTGGTCAACAAGAGGTTTAAACACTGTCTCAAGGCAAATCTTTAAAAATGTAGTATAAACACCGACAACTGGGAAACACTGGCCTGTGAGTGCTCCAACTGGAGAACAGCCTTTACCAAAGGTGTCATGGGCTTTGAAGACGCTCGAACTCAGGACGCAAGGGAGAAACATGCTAAGAGGAAGACATGCTTGGCAAATCCACACCGTGATCACCTCCTGCCCGGAAACCAATGTCCCCACTGTGGAAGGATGTGTGGATCCAGAATTGGCCTCCACAGTCACTTACGGACTCATTGTTTATGGAAGACAATCTTACTCAGC